AACACAAGAAGAAGATGATGTTCCCTTAATGATAGAAAGTTTCAAGTGTGCGACTATCAAGCATCTCAACCATTAGGCATACGAAGAAAATATCTATTCATAGTAGATTTAATTTTCTTTCAGCATGCGATGTCTTGGTTTCCACAGTTTAATCAAATCTATGCATGTTTCACATCCCACGGTTTACACAAATGAGAGTAGACTGACCTTGAAGAACACAGTTCCAGCTATGTTATTACTCATCAGAAGAAAAGGCGAACAAAGTGAAGTCGGTTTTAATACCATCTATCTCAGCATTTCTCAGTGATATCATTCAAAGGAATAATTCTGCAATCTGGCACAATGCTATGCTTGAAAAAAGTAATAATTCTAGCTATTTTGCTTTCACCAATTAAGAGCTACTGGTATCTTCTCCTAAACATTAATAGTCCATGAGATTGCGATTAGAATGTTAAACAACAATGTGGTCATTCCATGAAACATGGTTAGCAGCCTTACGTCTTGTATTATAAATTCCGTTCTTTGTGATTTCCCATCTTCGTAATCCAAATTTATTGTACTTGTTAGCAATAGATTTATTCACCTCTCATTAGTATTCACTAACTTAACATTTCTATAATAGATAACTACTTGCTGGTGTGTAATTTGTATATATGAGGACATTATTTTGTTTTATATATAAACTTCTAACACACCTAAAACTAATTATGCTTGGTTTTTATTATTTTGCCTACGTGAAGCTTCATGCTGATACTTTTCTTCTGTATATTTGAAGAGAAATTTGTATTAATGAAAGGTAGAATTTGATCACTGTAGTAGAATATAATTCTTTATTAGCTACTTTTTTCTGATATGAAACATGCTGATACAGTATTGCCGCTCATAATCATAACAGTGTATTGAAACAACCTCGTAGCGTGCTATTTAGACATAAACATTCACTTTTATTTCAATTTCCCGTATATTCTGAATAGACACTGTGTAGTTTTAGTTGCATGTTTCTGCTGGTGAACAGATAGACTGAGGTTATCCGGTTAACCTCACACTCTGTCTCTCAACTGAACTTGATGATACAGCCTCCTGTGGTATAATTAAAAAAAGTATAAAGCAGTTGGCTCTATTGTAACAGCAGAGGACGAGACAAAGAAGTCAAGGTATATTTTCAAGTGATCAAACATCTATTTACATCTATACGGTTTAAATTCTATAATCAATCACTGAGCGGGTGATTTTAATTTACATTAAACAATATGAGATAGAATGCTCAAGTAAAGATATTATTCTGTTGCTAATGCAGCATTGAATTGTGGGAATAGTGTTTAGACATTATCAGCAACAAATACAATGATTGTTACTGTGAGAATAATACTCTGTTGGAACCCACTCCGCCAAAGTATTTGTGAAGTTCCGAAAACATGAAGACGGCTAATTTGTCTGAAGTCCATAATATATTTGTGCAACATATCATAACATCAAATATTGTCTGAAAGGATAGAACTGGTTCAATCCTACCTACGGATAAAGCTTCAATTACTCTGAATACATTTGAATTGAACCAGTTATTTGTATGAGTCTAGTGCAGCACTGTATGATCCTTCATAGTTTTGCTATACGACCTGTCTGCGATTGTCAGCGTTCAGTATTTGCTTTAAAAGGCAGGTGAATTCGACATTTTCATTCGACCATTAAACCTTGCGACACCTACATTGATGCTCTAACACTTATATGTCAGTTGGTTAACATATTGGTATGTAAAATATTAAATATATCCATGATGAAATTCAGAATAAAAACACATTTAAGGTAACAATTTTGTTTCAATAACTGAATAATCCTTATTATCGAAGTAAGAACACAACAGTCTACGAAAAGATTCTTTTCAACAACGAATTTATTATCAGGCTGTACAGTCCTATATACATATTAAGCTTTTTTAAGAAATTATTTCTGGTGAGGGAATTAAAACAAAGTTGTGAATACATGAAATATCAATGGTATCATGAAATACAATTGAAATATTTGTGATGGGGATCATATTTGAATGTCAAGCACTAAAACACTTAGTCTCATTTATAGAATAATAATTCATAAAGTGTATAGATGTTGGAGAGTGGTGCGTAATCATAGGAATAGTAGGCTAATATAAAATGTTACATAACATGATGGTAAAACTGATAAGATATAATTCAATATTGAAAATAATTTTAGGTTTAGGGGTGACAAGTAGGAAGAAATCAAAGTGAGAATAATGATAATAATCGCAGTATTTGGGGAAAAGTCTATAGATTGAATAAATAAACAAAATTCATAAATGTCTATCCCTTGACGACCAAGGAAGAATTACGGACTTAAAATGTTTCTTTTTCCCACCGAAGTCTCGCTTAAATTCATGAACTTCTAAGGCCTCTGCTGTCTTTAGAAGTCTTTAATGTAGGAAACTCTGCAAGTTAGCAGGGATTCGGTATGATTTATTATTATTCCTTTGCGTTACAAGAGGAACATAGGACTGCAACAGCACATGTTCATTTTGTTCTGTTTTCTCCAGTCCTCTTCAGCTTGGTACAAGATTTATCAAACTCTCTCATATCTCCCTCACAATATCTCCTCCATGGGACCCTTATACTGACGACTCACTCATCGCTTGCTATTTGGATTCCACTTGATTACTTGGCGTACAATATAATTTGCTGGTCGCCTCAATGTATGCCTGATCCATCTCCACTTTCTCCTACATGTTTTTAGAGCGATCGGCACATGCCTGTTGATTTGCTCTCATAGTTTCTTGTTGCTTTTGTATTCTGGCCATTTTATCCTCAATATCCAGCAAAGATAGCTGTTGACGAAAGTCTGCAATCTGTTGGAAATCCTTTTCCTGATAAGCAATGGAGGTTTCTTACCCGTATAGTAGAACCGACTCCACATTGGTGGTGAAAATCCGAATCCTATACATATATATATCAATTGAAGCCTGAGTAGGTATTCGAGTGTGGTGGTTTTGTGTTAACTAACCCTGTTCATTTTACAACTCAGAAGTGTACGACATTCTATCTTCTGCTGAGTCCACTACGGGCAACAGCGTAGGATTATGTGGAGATTTCAACAGTGCGAGTGCATTTTTCCCCTACTTCTGTGGCAACCCAAGATCAGAATCAAAGCTTCTTAGAGATCCATGTTCTCCGTTAACCATAAATATTTATGATTCCAGCGCAGACAATGGCGGACCCTTCCACGTTCATTTCGCTTGTTTGTATATATTTTTCTTGAAATTTCGATGCCCTGGAGTTCAGGTTAATGAAACACCCAATATTATTTAGTAAACAAGGAACTTGATAATGTTTGTGAGTTCATAAGCAAATCTTGACTCCTTCTTGGATGTTTCTAGGGCTCCACTAGTCAGCATGTTATTCAAAGCTGATATATAAATGCTAATTCTTGAAAATATACTGAATAAAATCTCACCGTGAATATTGTCTTTCAACTAAATAATCATAATAAGCTTTGCTGATAACGGTAATATGACAAAGATGGTGCTACCGTGTTCCCTTGACCACATTATTCAGTTTCGTCGGAAAAGACAGACAAACTAAAGGTGAATAGTCCTTTGATTAAATAAACTGACAGAATCAATGACCTTCGATTCAAAAAATTAAAAGCATACGTCGAATTATTGATCAAACTCCAGATATGCTCAAAAACGTCCCGCTACTTCAGTCTGCAAGATGTTCTTTGAAGTGAAATTACAAAGGATAGTCACCAGCTGCAAGTTGTTCTGCATCTCTGCAAATGATATGCTCCCCCCTCTGGCGGACTCCACGTGCACCTATCAGTTAACCAGCTCTTTTGAAGCAAGGTACATTGGCCATAGACAGAGGACGCTATTCGCACGAATACGAGAACATATTCCAGCCTGGTTTTACAAGGGAGAAAGAAAGAGTTTACGAAGCTCTATTGTCAAACACCTAATCGACCTCAATCATCCTAACAACCCTGATCATGATTTAAAGACCATTTGTCGAATCCGCTTAACGTGCAGCGTTCTCTTCGTTATAAACGTCTAAAGACAGAGGGGGCCTTCGAAATTCATGAATTTAAGCGAGAACTTGGTGTGAAAAAGATATATGTTAAGTCTCTAATTCTCACATTGATTTGTTCCCACTTTTCACCTCTAAATCTAGAATTATTTTCAATATTGAATTCCATCTTATCAGTGGAGATGGATTGGACACTCTCTGAGGAGGCCGCTGGGTGACATCGCGCGTCAGTCCCTCCAGTGGAAGCCGAAAGGGAAGTGGCGAGTGGGACGTCCAAGGGTGACATGGAGGAGATCGTGTAAAGCAGAGTTGAAACAGTATGGACTAACATGGATGCAAGTGAAAAGTACAGCAGAAGACAGAAGCAAGTGGAGGCGTGCAATTGAAGCCCTATTTTCCACTAGGAACCCAAGGGAACAATAATTAAAATAATCTTGTCAGTTTTACCATCATGTTATGTAACATTTTATATTAGCCTACTATTCCTATGATTACGCACCACTCTCCAACATCTATACACTTTATGAATTATTCTATAAATGAGACTAAGTGTTTTAGTGCTTGACATTCAAATATGATCCCCATCACAAATATTTCAATTGCATTTCATGATACCATTGATATTTCATGTATTCACAACTTTGTTTCAATTCCCTCACCAGATATAATTTCTTAAAAAAGCTTAATATGTATATAGGACTGTACAGCCTGATAATAAATTCGTTGTGGAGAAGATTCTATTCGCTGAATATTAATGTTCTTATACTTTGGATTATCCACTTGAATGAATTGGCTGATGATCACTGTGTGTACTATGATGTCGTATGTATTGCATATTTTCAATCTTATCGTACGTGTGTGTGCAATGTGTTTAAAAACAACACGTATATATTTGGATGATTTTGATAAAATTTATTTCATCCGAAATATAAAGCCATTGAGAATCAAAACGTACTATGACCACTCCATATGGATGATCATGTCAGTTTATTTATTGAACAAAGTTAAAATGTATATGTGAATTTATGTGAATATTTTTTAGCAGATACATTTCAAAGCAAGGAGTCTCATAGTGTAAGTCGATTACTCCTATTCCCATTTTATTTATCTTAGTTGGTTGAACTTTTCCTTAAATTTATTCGAAGAAAAAGTGTCTGGCCATCGTGTCTTATTCCATATACACATCGCAGATGTGCAGTTCAGTTAGGAATTAGTTCAGTTACCTATTATTGCCTTCAAGTGATAGGAACGTGTACTAAGTCAATGTAAAAGCGCAGTTATTGGCATTCATGAAACTTCGAGAAACATAAAGAAAACACAAGTTGTCTGAAACGCGTAATGCACTTGTGTAACATAATTTGAGCAATTCGAAGACAGATTACGGGATATGCGCCAATTTGGAATAATTTTATTTCAGTTATCAGATTTCATTTAGAGACAACGTAGGTGTGGGAAAGCATTGAAATGTGAGGAGCACTGGACAGTTGTTTTTGTCCTCTTTTATGACTCCTCATGAATGCCTGCCCACAATCTCTCCAAGAATAGACCCAGGACTTTCATGTTACGTTACTAAGTCCATAGACCCATAATTCAAATGTCATCCTTCAGTTCAATTTTGTCTACTAGATAGATGTCCTGAAGCTTTGATGGCAAGTCGTGGCCGCTGGGTCCACCGTCGAGATGTGAAGTTAGTGCTCATCCAAGCCATTGGTCAGGTAAGCGGGCCACTGGTTCCTGAGAAAAATATAAGTGAAATTAGAGTATGACAGGTGAAAGTTCAATGAATATCGGTCAAAATGTTTAAGGGTCAAGGCCAAAAATAAGGTGTAAGAAACAAAACCGATAAAAATAGAAGTGCAGAAAATGTAGTTTCAACTGAAAGTCGGATTAAGAATACAGGTCTATAGCAATGATAATTTATTTTGAAAACAAAACCAATTTATGTCATTTTCTGGATAAAGCTTCGATGAATTAAAGCATATGATCCTAACCGGTTGCATTTGCGGAAATATACTGAAATATAATTTGTGTTGGGCAATACCTTTCTGGTTCATTTGAGTTAGGTGGCCTGAAAGTGTATTCTTCAGCCCTAACCTGCAGAAATTGATGGAAGCACTGCCGATTAGTCTGGTCCCGAAAGAGCGGAAAAGTTTTCCAGTGTTTGAATCATCTCGATGTGACTAGCAAGCGCTAATGGTTCACATGAATGGTGTGCAACCACTGATCTCAATCAATCATTTGTTTTTAGACTTTCGCATTTATTCTACCTTTCATGATTACCGTTTACGGCATGAAGAAACTAGCATATTTTGATCTGTACATTTTGGTTTGCAAAGAACATTTTGGCGAGATTTCACCTTCTCATATTGTGTCCACTGGAAATTGCGAAATAATGTTCAAATTACGAATTTAATTTGGATACTGCCTCATCGACCTAGACCTCCAAAAGAGAGACCATTCTGTCCAACCACTCTGTCTGCAAGTTGTGAAAACATCTATAAATTGGAAGTTCTCGTGATTTTCTTGAAGAAATTTTGAAGGTATAATCCACTCAGAAAATCATTGCAGTAAAACCCTCATTTTCATTTCAGTATGATCGTGTTGTCAACATCTTTTTTTACATTGGGTTTCAGAATACCAAAAAATGGTCCTTTTCAGTGCATCTTTTGCCAATTCCACTTACAAGGTTCAGAGAGTACAAAGGAATCCTGCCAACTTTTACATTTGGGTGAGAATACTGTCATCTATTGAACGCATTTCTTATCTCTAGTTCTTAGTAGATTTGATTATCATGATACTCATGGCAGTAAGTGCAATCGTCTTGATTACTCAAGTGTAAGATTAGGTTAAAGTAATTGAGCAAATTATAATTTGGTTTGCAGATCAGCAGTATGCAAATTCTTCAAGGATCGTGACTATGTGATATACATTCTTTTGTAAGTTCTACATTCTACAATTACTTTTAATCAGGTGATTGATTCTTATATCAAGTGATAAGTGGAATGGATTTTAATTATTATTATTCTCCTGGGTTACGAGCGGAATCAAGGATTTCATCAGCATGTCTACAATTTGCCCCGTCCTCTTCTTCCTTCTTTAGCTGGCTTCATCACCGTTTCACACTATCTCCCCCTCCTAACAAGCCATTTTCCATCTGCGTTCTAGTCAGGAGCCTTGCACCTGTCAAAAACACCTCCAATCCTCCAGCATACTTTGTTGTGCGATCACTTGTTGGTTGGTTATTCCTCACAGTTCTTTGTAATTTGTCATTTCCGGTTGGCCATGAAATTTTAATAATGGGTCCAATAGACTCAGATGTTGGTGGAAGTTTTCAGCAAATCGGAAATGCTTCCCATAACGCGCGTGCCATTTCTCATACACATTTCGGAGCGCCGACTTGAAATAAATGTTGAAATTCCGGATACTGATCCATTTATTGATTGTGGTACATTTCAACACAGATTGATATAGATCAGTTCCATTTTCTCAACCGTATCTCTGATGTCTGCATCTGTGCTCCTGTATTCAGAACTATGCTGCCTGGGTGACTGAATGTGGTAGTTCTATTCAAATATCTCTCTTTAATGATGATTGGTGTCTGTTCTTGGTTGGTGGGCACATTCACAATGTCTTAGCTCGAAGTCTTGCTATAGCTGCTTCATTTGTTAACTTGTTGATTTTCCCTGTATAGATTAACGTTTGTGTGACATTACACATAAGTCGTCTCCAGCGTCAAAAACTTGTAGAATCTTCTTGTCGGTCCAACACGTTCCTGTCTGCTTGTACTTTGAAATGCACTGCCCAGCCCATAATCACGTTTATCTACAGTAATAGTAATCAATCTTGTCTTACTCTTGTCTTCACTTCAGAGTCATCTCCGAGCTTTCCTTTGTGAATGAACTGGCATGTTACATCGTCGGATAGCTATTGAATGAGGTTGATGAAGGTTTGAGTAACTCCAATGAGTTAAATTGGTTTCGAAATTACTTCGTGGTTAACAGTGTGGAAGGAATTTTCAGTGTGAATTGAGCTGAAGTGTGGAAATGGCTGAAATTCTACGGTTTTCATCAATATCCTTTTCAGGAATGGTTACCCTGTATAACATCTCCAACTTGTCTGTGATGTCTACATAAAAGATGTCTGACAGTTTACATGGTTTGCAGGGGGGAGCTTAAGATGATTACAAATTTCCTACCTTTTGCTTTGAATTTTGCTGTCACTGCCCTGAACCAGATTAGAATTTTCAACGCTGCTCGTAACTTCATGACAATCACTCCTTTAGTGTTCTTGTGGTTTTCATTTGGATGACCGGGATGCATTATTGATTCTCCAGCTAATAATTTGGACAGTTGACTTAGTTCGCATTCGCTGTCACAGACTCAACACTTCACGTTTCTTTGAAAGTTTGGGAAGACTTCCCATCTTTGAAGATCGTGTGAACACTACATTTTCAGACACTTATTATTGCTTTCCTTGAAAGAAGATGCATTAGATGTCTGGCTTATAGAATGCTTCCGCGAACCAGTGTCACTTCATCTCTCTGACTCCTGGGAGAATAAGTTGACTTTTCTATGTCTTCTGTGGTGTTTTGATGTTTCTACAGCAACTGGGTTAATTTCCTCGGTGAAGTTGCTGGATCCGCTCCTTCTTTTTCGCACATAGTTCCAGCTAGTAAACCAATAAGCTATTTACTTGCAAATGTTATTTCACGGACATAATTAGTGCCATTCCTGTCTTCTCACTGTCAAAGCCTAATTGTGCGGTTTCCTGTTAGGCTATGAACCACGACGGCTGCTCTCTTTGTTCACGTAAACACATCTGCCCCAGTACGTTTGGTCAAATTGTATTATTCCGTTTTTCCATTCCATTGCAGTCAACAGCTACTTAGGAAAGAATCCACAGAACGGCCATTGTAAAGCACCGATTAAGGTGCATAATTTAGTACAATTATCTAATTAGCACCTGATTAAAATTTTCTAAATTGCTGTATGATTTAGGCAATTAATAAAAAGGTGGCCATTAATTTTGCTTAGATACCCAGTGAATTTATACATTGTCATCATCAGTCATACGTATCAATTTCTTCACAATAAAACTGTCATCAGTACGATATTATATCAAATATAAATTTTCTACCGTCTTATTGTACTCCTCCGGTGAGATCAATCAAGACTGTCACGTCTAAGAAGAAAATGAACGACTGGCATCATGAGGCAAGTAATGAATGCAGAATATTACATATATGTCATGAGCTTCAAGTTGAATGGTTTCTACCACTGCACCTAGCCAGTCAATTATAAAGTCATCATACTGGAAGAATCAACTTGAGGAATTCATAATACTTCATATGTCTTGAAATGCACTGATCTCACAATAGGATAATTCCAGTATATTCTACTGCTTTTTGAGATTAATTACTGTTACTACTTACAAATTCATTTCAGTTCAGTCGGTGCCATGCTTTTATTTCTCTGTATATTCGTGACAAGTATTCACTCGAAATACATTCCTGTTCGTATAATCCTTGGAATTGTGGTAAGTATCAATTTTATTCTATCCCTTGCAAAATCGGTAGCGATTTGTTGCAAGAAAAATGAATGTCAGTTGTCAATATTCATGCCCACAGTTACTTGGTCTGTGAAATAATTCCCACAATTCTCTGAACATACTATCATTAGCCTTGCAATATAAATTGTATGGTTTTACAATTAACTTATAAGAGAAACTTTTACAATACTACATTACCATAGAAGGTTGAATATATATATATATACATGGTAGAAAATCATGTACTGTCAGTGTGTATGAAATAAATTAAAACTATTTGTGAATTAATCTGACATTCATGTGAGGATTGACAATTTTGAAAGCTTATGTTGATTCGAATTTCACGTGTGTAGGTCGTCTAAACAGCAGAGAGAGTTAGATGTTGAAATTAAGCTTGTTATCGTACTATAGAAATATGGACTGCATTTGAATTCATGACCAATCAACGTGGTTTACAAATTTGACTGTTGCATAACGTGCTACTGAAGTCTTGGTGTGCTTAAAAGGCGACGCATCTGTCTGGTTCTTCTATACAGCGATAACTCCCACTGACATTTTTGAAACACCCACCCAACTAACCGAATTCTATCACAAGAATATAACTTGAGCACTTTGGTGGTACATGAATTCATCATAGAGTATATTTATTTGATAAAAGCACTCCGTCTTGCAGTATTATTTATTTACGACGTTTTGAGATCACTTTTTTTACCCATAACCATATCAAGCCACTCCTATGACTTTCAAACTTTGTTCACATAGTTCTATTTCTTATTCTTTACTTTTATCGGCAGTAACATCTTCCACATCTCGGTTATTTGTGTTTTGTCACTAGTTTTAGAATCGATGAACAAAGATTTAGTAATCAATCCTTCTCTTTACCTGTGTATATTACGTTTTAGTACTCTAGCTCTCTCTCTCACCCTATTGTGTGATTGGACGTTGAAGCATACATTGCGATTTCTAAATTATTCCTCAAACTAGCCTCACCAAATAATTTGACCTCTGTAGTTGATCTCATATTCATTATCATAAATTCTTTCTAATCCATATTATGGCCAGTAGTTCCACTAATATTCTAGCTTTTCTTGGCGCTTTAATGAAATTCTTAAGGAATTTTATAGGATGATTACTTGGAATCAGTGTTTCTTCTATCTGTTTCATATCATTATGGACTGTGTGGTGAATTCAATTATGGAGTACGGGTCGAAATCTAAACACTTCAAAAAATGCCACTCCATGCATTCAATTTCATAAGAATATTAACACATAACTGCTTGTTAACTTATTTACGACTTTGACTGACTGTGCTGACTTGATATGTTGTGGCTTCTTCCATGCTTGGGTCTTAAAATTCCAATGATAGGATTGCTAGCCTCAGTTTAAACTTTCCCGTTTTACCAGAATTACTCCTGGAAAAGTGGGTTTTAGTAGACTGCTGGCGAGAGATCGAACTCTAGACCAAGTTGGTAGTGAGCGAGTATTTAACTATTTAACCACTGACTCACTTCTACACTCACTGAGCAATAATTACTCATCCAATGTTATTAGCGTTCTGATTTTCTCTTTTTTTTGTAGGTTACATTATGGTCTATTAGCTTCGCTACTGAATTTGAATCTATTCAGATAGGATTTGCATTGATATCTCTGGGTGTGACAACCACGGTAACAATTACAGCAATCGTTCTGGCTTTCAAGCTACCACCTTTAAATGAAAAAGGTTTTATTGTTTCCGCAGCAATATCAATGCTCCTAGCAGTTTCAGCTATCATCGTAAAGATTTGTTGTTACTTAGTTGCACAAAATGTAATTATACTCAGAAATGTATATTTAAACAATAAAATGCATGGAAAGTTGACGTATAATTTATAAAATATGCTCTGGTATCCATTTCATCTAGAAATGTCTATGACGTTATTTAAAATTCAATTGGATATAATAAGACATTTTATTTGACCACAGAGGAAAGTGGTCAATAATTCATGCATTAGGGTGTATAGTTGTTCGCACAACATTAAGCTTTCTACACTGGAGCAGCCAAATTGGTTAATGCTCATAGAAGTGAGGCAGATCTTTCAATTGAGCAATCATAGTTGGTCGGCTGAAAGATATCAAACATAGACAAAGGGATGGTATTGCTATGAGTTCTCCGTAGGCCTGATTTTGGCTGACTTTATCTGTGCTAGTCTTGAAAATGGTTAACTGAAACAAGGAATAAGTGAACTGGGTTCTTGCTGTTATCATTATACTAATGAAATGTGTATTAATATTGTTAAGGAAGCAGACATATTTACGAATATGAATGGATCCTAATGTTCACTAAAAAGATATTTTTTAGAAAACCCAAGTATCTAGGGCAATCTACACCTTTCTTCAGTTTCGTAATCATCCAATATAAATTCACATTGATCAGGTGCCTCATGCATCAAGGAAGAAGGATGCGTATCGATGGTTCCTTAGAAAAATAAACACTACCGCTCAAATACATGATCCTGGTAGATCCAAGAACATTTTAGAAAAAAGAGTTATCTGTGAAACTCTGATGCAATGGAGATATTACTAGTGAAGTTCTACATCCACGATTATGTATATTTATTTCTGTATACATTTAAAAATTTAGCTGCTCCCTTAAAAATAGCAACATAGTGTGAATAACTAGACAGCCTCGCAAAACTACTTATCTTCCTTCATGGTTAGTAAAATACTAAGCGAAATCTGTGTCAAGTTTTACTTTCTATCATTCGATTGACGGTGATAATCAAGTGTCAGAAGAATCTCTGTTTATTTCATCTAGCGTGCAAAAGTGAGTACCTAATTATTGAGAGCAATCCACTTAATAATCTTCCGACCATGACTAGATTCTATTACAATGCAACTTGAATGATCACCTTTATTCTTTAAAACTTGCATGATTGATCGTGAAATTCAGTGGATTACAGACCTACTATTCACTTTATTTCCATTATACCATTAGCTGTTTGGCGAGTAAGAGTTAGCTAAATAAGAAATTTGGAAGTGATAAGGTAAGAATTTAAATAAAATGCCTCAAAATGACTTCATGTGTGTTTACTGTCATTTATACAAAATTAATCAGAGATTGGTTCGTTTCACTTAGTATTAAACTGATAGATGTTTATGAATGTCACCGTAAACATTATTATAGATATGTGCATACTGTAATTTAGAAAACAGCCACATGATTCGAATATGGATATGCGTTTTACTGTCTTTATTTTCTAGAATCGAATATTCTGCATTGTGGCAGCAGTTCTCATTGGATTATTCATATTCTTTGTAAGTCATTAATTTAACCAGTTTTACTCTGGCATTTAAATTACGTATAGAACATGTAATATGTGGCCATCGCAGTTTGGTGACATTTCTTCCCTCTTTAGAGTTTCTGGTGGAATAAAGACATTCCAGCTCGAAGTCGGAAGGTTCAGCAGCTTTGCATTTTTCTACGGATATGGGTTGCTAGTCTCACCTCTCACCTTGGCTATTTATCGGGCTCACCATCGGACAAGGATGTTTAAGGAGTGAGTTAGCCAGGTATCACACCCAGAACATGAGTGGGGTCAGCAGTGATTCTACCACTGAACCTATGAGGTACAAATAATGGAAACGTAGAGGATACAAAGTAGTCATATAAAAATACCAGCAAAAGATGAAATTTGTTCTGAAAATCATTATGTTCTATGTGTAGTATATTTCTTAATCTCAGAAGTAATTCTAATGCATCCTGAGATCAAACAGCCATTAAGCAAACACTGCAAACTGCTGGTTGAGTGGTTAAGAATTTATCCTGCAAAAACAAATTTTTATTTCTGTGATGAGGTCATTAAAAGAAATAGCTCATTAGTGTACAGTGCGGTTCAGTCGCTACCAATGGGAAATATATGTATATATTGTCTGAGAGTCGTATCGGAACAAAGATATTTCTACTAACAGTTATGATTTCAGAACAAGAATAATTAGCCAGAACAGCCACTCCCAGTGTATTTTTCTTCACTAATAATTATAAATCAAATAATTCTAGCATGCGATAGCGCCATTAAAAGGCGAATTAAAATCATATCAGAATGTGTACTTTGGAAGTAGTACAAGTTAGTTTACAATAGGTATGGTCTATGATAATATAAGATAAAATATGACGATGTGCGTATATATGCATTATATAGTCAACAAAGTAGAAGTTTAAAGGGTGAGTGTAGTCAGTGGTTGGAGAGATAAGATGAGTACTACTGAGAAATAAATCAACAAATGAGAAAAACTAGACTAAATTACAAGGGTGACAAATAACAACAATATTCATAAATGCATAACGATGGTGTGGTGTAAATACAGAAGTAAATGATCATCAAGTAGTACAAAAAATGTAATAAAGTGGGATGAAAAGGATTTTCGAAGCAATACGCTCCTTCTGTGAAGACGTAGTTTATCTGAAACGTGTAATTTCATTTGCACAACACATTTCCGACATTCTGATCACACAGACTAGTACTTGTCACACACATTCATATAGAAGGCAAGAGAGCAGGAATTACTACAATACAGGTCAGACTGTGTACAGGTCTGGGTCACAAATGAGGAGCAGAAAGATGACGTAAGGGTGTGGAGTAAGAGAAAACAGAAGGGAGATGGTGAAAATATGATAAAGTAAACTGAACCTTCGTTTTTAATTGGATATTCAAAGCTCAAGGCTGCAATAAGCTGAAATTAGTATGGAGCTAAACTTATCTTTATAGATAAAACGAGATCTATGCTGTCCTGTTAACTGGTAAGGCATCCGAAAGATAGTGTCACACTTCACTGTGTTGACAAATTTGCATGAACGCACGTACTTAAGGACGGCCCATCCATCTCTGAAGGTTAGGGCTACAAAATATATTCCAAATTTGTTGTAACCACAAATAAAATCACCAAATACAACTCTTCCTGGAAGTAGATGTCCAATATCGTCGATAGCGAAACACATCATAGAGACGAGTAATCGAGTTGATTTCAATAATGAATTTAAACGCATGTATAAAATAACGTTGGGTTACATATTTGTTGAAGATTTGACCAGAAATTGTCTTCAACCTGTCTCATGTATCCAAAATTTATTTGTTATTACTTAAAACTTGCTTTGAATATCCAATTAAAAACAAAGGTTAGTTTACTTTATCATATTTTCACCATCTCCCTTCTGTTTTCTCTTACTCCACACCCTTATGTCATCTTTCTGCTCCTCATTTGTGACCCAGACCTGTACACAGTCTGACCTGTATTGTAGTAATTCCTGCTCTCTTGCCTTCTATATGAATGTGTGTGACAAATACTAGTCTGTGTGATCAGAATGTCGGAAATGTGTTGTACAAATGACATTACACGTTTCAGATAAACTACGTCTTCTTATACTTTTGTCAAATTGGATTTTGTAAATACAACAGCATGTTTGCAAAACGATTCGTACACCTGGAGTCATGAAGACCGAAACTGTGTCTTTGACAAATGTATAATGCATACTTTTTCCGTTTCCATTATCTGTCGCCTGTGTTTAAATGACAACGAAAACTTAGTTTGTCCTTCAATAATTTTGAATTCCCCGTATTTAGTCTATTTTTGAGCTATGTTCCGAAGTACAACCCATTTTGTGTTCTCAAATGTTTTCAAATAATTTACGACCATAGATTGCTAGCACACCTTGCATATTACTGAATTAGGTATTTGTGAAGATAATCAAAATGTTATACATATTCAGCATTTATCCATGTGTTCTTTTATTTTGAAGCAGCAGAAGACTTGTTGGTTAAGATCCACCTTCTCATATCTATTTTATCATTTTAGGCAATGTTCATTTGTCTTAGTTTACGAAAATGGATAGCGTGGTGGTTTGCACCTAATCCCATTGAATTTATTCTAGCCTTCGCCGTTTGGTTTTTAATGTTATACCTGTTCACACAAATATACACCAGCATACTTCCTAGAAATGAGAGTTCCACTTAAATATATGATAAACAAACAGGAATTTTTACGATGGTTTGTGGATTATCTATTTGTTCAACGTTCAAATAATAAATACTCTCTTGAGTAAGACTAGTTCTTTCACTACCGTTTATTTTCATGACCAAACGTTGATCATGTTTCCTTTGTCTGTTGATATGTTTTGTTATTCTGAAGAAGTTAAATTTTATAAAGTATTAAATACACAAAGAGTCTTTTTTTAGGCAAATTCATTCACTTACCTGTATAATCACAATTATGTGTAATTATGTTTTTATATCTATGCGTGTAGTGCGTCGGTGGCACAGTGGTAGAATGCTCGCCGATGACGCACGTGTTTCGGCGTTCGAATCTCGGCCGACGCACTTCTTTGCTTAATAAGCCAGTATTAAGGTTGGTTAGGAGGGAATATTGTGTATGAGACTTGCAACCATATCCTGTAAAATTAAACACCACTGCCACCAAAACTTCAAGTCTGCAGATTGAAAAAATTAAGTTTGGAGTACTGTTTGTTTCATCAGGATGCTAAAAAATCGATGATAAAAGTCGAAAAGCGGGCTTGGGGTAGATAATAAAGTTTAGGCTAGGGTTACGTCATAGTAAAAAAAAACTTTCGGGTGAAAATTATTGTTACTGGAAGAGCATAGAAATAAGTATAAAAAACAATGAGGTAGGGGAAGGGAGTGGACAGAATGTTAGTTAAGAGACTGATATTAATTTTGTCATAAGAAAATGAACAGAATAGTACTAATAACTGTCATAGAAATATATATGAAATTAATAAAGAGGTAAGAGGTGAGAAATATACTTAGGTCAAGTTAAAACGACATATTCACGGTCAAAATAACAATGAAGACCACCAAACCAAAAACGCAGAGGTAATAGTACATCTGCTATGAATGTGTCCTTGCAACTTGACCTAAGTACTAAAAACGTCAAAATATTGATAACAGTTGAGACTATATTTATACTCAAGGTAGAAGTAGGGAGGGCAGAAGTTTCTTCTGTTTACAGAAATCAGCATTTTCCATCCGAATTGCTAAAGCCCTGGCAATGCGAATCATGCGGAAGCTTTGTTGATTTCGTAGATAATTTTGGATGAATTCTTATTGCATACTGAGTGGCCTAATGAGGTAGTTTATCTTCGGAGTTGTTGAACCACAATATAATGCCAGTTGTAATGCTGAAACGAAGAATGTTATTATCGGGCCGTTTTCAATTTCATTCTCTATAGTGTCGACCAGAAAGTTGCCTTCTAAAGTGATATTCATGTACATCATCTACTTTGGAACAGAGATGTGGTTTTCTTCGTTTACCTATGAAGCGTGGAGGTTAACTATTTTTGACTTTCTCAAAAATGGGACCTCATAACCTACTTGTTCAGGACTGCAAATTCTTCAGCTCAAAAGATAATATCAGGCCTCGATTGTGTTGTATAGATACCTAACCGTAAAATTTGATCAATTGTCAGTTCCCCGTAGGTTGTCTGTACACTTATCCGCTCAATGTCTCATTAGACTTCTTTGTTAGTTGAACGTACTGAAATGAGATTCTTCGTTTGTAGGGCACTACGTAGGTCACATTGAGGGTGAGAAATGATAAAAGTATCATCAACTCCTATTTTTCAAATGAGTTTTGCCTAAGTGTGTTCTCTGCCCGTAATTGTTTTGAAGAATATAACCAAAATGTCAATAATGTTTAAATTATCTCTGAGCTCAATGTGTATCATTTCAATTTGTGGACTTGAAATTTTACAGCAATAACTATGAACTTTATATGACACAAGAATGATTGAGGATATATAATGATTCAAGTAGACAAAGAAATATGTTTTGCGCCTACTCTAGTGCATAGTTAAAGATAGGGGCTACACAGAAACGGTGTACCATTAAAACTCCTGAATCATAAAGCAGAGGAATGAGTTTGAAACACCTCAAAATAATTTCAACTGGGGAAGAACAATTAACTAATCCTAATTCCTAGTCGTTTCGCATATAACAGGGGACCTCAAAAAATATTAAAAGGCATTGCCATAAGGGTAAATGAGGTATGTTGATACTAAAACAATCGTTTTCATCAACAATTTAGATTGTGCCTTAAAAAAAGAATGGTCATAGGATAGTAGTCAACGCGAATTTCAACGCTGCGAAGTTCATCGGACAAATTTTCATGCCAAAGATATTCAGTAATATTGTATATGTCCAAACCAAGTTCACTTTTAACGGTTTGAAAAAAATTGGGCATTGGGTATATGATATTCATTTTAATAAAGGTTTTCGTATTTCCCAATGAATGAAAAGCAAAACGATATTGTTTTTACTGACGTTTCGCTATTTAATTCTAATAGCTTTATCAAAGTATTATTAAACCGGAATTTACAAAATCTCAGCATATACATGTAACAAACAGTTAGGGGGTGAGAAAGTAGATTTAGGACAAGTTAAAGGGACATATTGAAAGTAGAAATAGAAATGAAGATCACTTAACCAAATAACAAAGGTAATAGTACGTCTGTTATGATATCAAAATAAAGTTTACTAGCTTGATCATCGTTCGTCTGTCTGGGGTCACTTTTCGTTGACAAGTTGGTCAATTGGTGAAGATAACAAAATCAAGCGTGGATTGTTGGATTTGATCAGTGTTTAAAATTATAAAAGCAGTGTGTGTTTACAAAGTGAACTTGCATATCACATTCATGTTGATTTTGTCAATTCATGAGGGAGGGGGGTGCTGTAACCAAGTCAGATTCTGTTTCAGTCCATCATTCCTATTCAGGCAATTTGGATTCCACTTGATATGAATTGCTTCTGATATTAGACGTTCTTTGTGATTTCTGAAGTTTTTCTGGATTATTTCAATAATGTGAAAATCAATTTTGTGACCTGATTCTATAGCATGAAGACCTATGGCTGATGATTTTCCAAGTTTTTGTAGTTCAACGGGATTTCTCGGTGGTCAAAGAGATGCTTTTCGGCGTTCATTTCTTCTGATTTTGATTTCTCGAGATTTTTTTCCGGTGTATATCGCATCACATTCCAAACATTTTATTTTATAGACACATTTAGATAGAGAATCTTTAAGGATCTGGTCTTTTATATGGACAAGGTTGTTTCGTAGTGTGTCTGATGTTTTGAAGAAAACTCTAATGTCCAGCTGATTGAGTACTCTTCTGATATCATCTCTGCTCTATATGGAATGATGACTGTCGAGGTCCATATTTTCGGAATGCGTTTTCGGCCATACTTAATGTTTGTGTTGATTTTTTTGATGAAGTCCCTTGGGTAGTTGTTTTGCTTGAGAGTTTCAGTAATGTTCGATATTTCTCCTTCTTTTATTTCTCAACCGTAATCAGAGATTGTGCTCGTCTAAGAAGACTTGAAACAACTGAAATCTTTGCGTTGATAAGATGTGATGACTGGAGGTCTAAATATTTATTGGAGTGAGTTTTCTCCCTGAATATGGATATACTAAAATGTCTTTTTTCCCTTCTCTTAACTAGGCAGTCTAGAAATGGTAGTTCACCAACGTCTGATTCTGCTTCCAAAGTAAACTGGATTCTGGGAGATATACAATTTATTTTCTCCAGGAATGAAATGCGTAGATCTCATTTTAGTACTACAAAAGTATCATCTACATATCTTAACCATATTTTAAGAGTGAGTATGCTTGAAAAGATGTTATTTTCGAACTTATTCATGAAAATGTCAGCGACTATTGGGGAGACTGGTGAACCCATAGCAACACCATTTGTCTGTCTATATAAACCCACTTTAAATGTAAAATAATTATTTTCTAGACAGAATTTCAAGCTCTTAATTATTTCACTGGTGTCCAGTGGACATCTTTGTGATAGCGTTGTATCTGGTTCTAGAAGACTGGAAATGATATCAAGACTTTCGGTAATAGGGATGCTAGTATATAATGAGTTAATATCATAGCTTACCATAATTTCTTCTTCATCAATTTCTCGGTGTTCTTTTCCGAATTTCAAATCATTTGAATATCTCACAATATTTTGAGTATCTTTTTGTAGTGGTTGTCGTATCGAGAGTAAGTATTTCGATTCTCTATCTAATTGTGTCTATAAAATAAAATGTTTGGAATGTGATGCGATATACACCGGAAAAATATCTCGAGAAATCAAAATCAGAAGAAATGAACGCCGAAAAGCATCTCTTTGACCACCGAGAAATCCCGTTGAACTACAAAAACTTGGAAAATCATCAGCCATAGGTCTTCATGCTATAGAATCAGGTCACAAAATTGATTTTCACATTATTGAAATAATCCAGAAAAACTTCAGAAATCACAAAGAACGTCTAATATCAGAAGCAATTCATATCAAGTGGAATCCAAATTGCCTGAATAGGAATGATGGACTGAAACAGAATCTGACTTGGTTACAGCACCCCCCTCCCTCATGAATTGACAAAATCAACATGAATGTGATATGCAAGTTCACTTTGTAAACACACACTGCTTTTATAATTTTAAACACTGATCAAATCCAACAATCCACGCTTGATTTTGTTATCTTCACCAATTGACCAACTTGTCAACGAAAAGTGACCCCAGACAGACGAACGATGATCAAGCTAGTAAACTTTATTTTGATATCATAACAGACGTACTATTACCTTTGTTATTTGGTTAAGTGATCTTCATTTCTATTTCTACTTTCAATATGTCCCTTTAACTTGTCCTAAATCTACTTTCTCACCCCCTAACTGTTTGTTATATGTATATGCTGAGATTTTGTAAATTCCGGTTTAATAATACTTTGATAAAGCTATTAGAATTAAATAGCGAAACGTCAGTAAAAACAATATCGTTTTGCTTTTCATTCATTGGGAAATACGAAAACCTTTATTATAATGAATATCATATACCCAATGCCCAAGTTTTTTCAAACCGTTAAAAGTGAACTTGGTTTGGACATATACAATATTACTGAATATCTTTGGCATGAAAATTTGTCCGATGAACTTCGCAGGGTTGAAATTCGCGTTGACTACTATCCTATGACCATTCTTTTTTTAAGGCACAATCTAAATTGTTGATGAAAACGATTGTTTTAGTATCAACATACCTCATTTATCCTTATGGCAATGCCTTTTAATATTTTTCAAACAAAGGTGACTGTCGGAATTTCAGAGTTCTGCATGCGACTTTGCACGGAGCCTCAATGAAACGGAAGAATTTATTTGAGAATATTCGAACTGAATGCGTCTGAACTGTTGTTTTTGAAGTCCAAAATAGCCACTGTCACGCGCTGCCCTCTGTTAGAGACAGATAGTTAAAATATACTTTATAACGAGTCTTTGTAAGTTATCAGCCTGTCATTATAAAGATGGGCTATTAGGAATCATAATGCGGTCCAGCACATCTGGCCTAAATGAATCCATAGCTTCAAAGCCTAATGTGCACACTGTTGACAATTTCTAGCAACATACTGATGAATAGTGAATTCTGTCACCACTGAAATAGAAACGCTATGATGACGCCTATCTAGCGCACGTCTTAACCTTTACATTACATTAATTTACTTTGTATTCATAGTTCATCATCCAACTGAATTATCTTTACAAATAATGTGTTTTCTTCGAAGCCTTTTAGTAGTCAAAAAACGTCACCTTAACTGTTCTATTCAACAGTTTGAAACGTTAACGTTTGATCCTGAGATCAGATAGCCTATCACACATTTTTCTTCAGGTGAAACAAGAAAAAGCTCATCCAGCTTAGATTACATTAGGCATTCACTATTCTATGAAACTAGTGGTATGCAAATAAAGCTGCAAGTTTTGCTGTGATATTATTTATTGAAAAAATTTCAAAAATCAACTGTCATAAAGTCAATATGTGACAAATATATTAGCACAATAAATGAAATACGGATGAAAAATTTGAAGATGTGTTTTAGCATAGTTAACAGATGATAAATTCATTAAAGGAAATCTGAGATAATCAGCGCTGCATACAAAAAACTACATAACAACAGGCGTGGTTTGAGCACTATTAACTTTCTTATCAGCTTGTTAACCTTTTTTTGTCATTAAAAATAAATCTGACAATTCAACCAGTATAATTTGAGATGCAGTAAATGGGAAGTATGATTCATTGTTGTTTTATTGATGACGTTCATGATTTGAAATGTATGATGGCAGTGATTCATTGAAGAGGAAGGTTATGGCATAATTGACATTCGTTTTGCAAATAGGTAAGATAGCAATCTGTTCGAACTTACTAAATCTACAGCAGTGTTCCTAACGTCAGCCGCCAGTGCAATCCAAAAAATTCTGAAATGTGGTACGATGATTGTTAGAAATTGTGCCTCTTGTGAAAACGTAAACGAAAGGTGTTGGTACGACTAAAAAACATGAGGTAAATCAAGACAATGTGTTTGCCGATGCAAGTGTTGAACCCTGGGCACAGTAGAATAATCAGATTTCATATGAGATAAGTTCATTTTAATAATAATCACACAGTGATGCAGTAGTAGCAACTGGATGACCTTTTCAGTGTGAATTATTGCTCATAATCATTTCATTTTAGTCCCACATCTTCACATATTGTCTAATATTTAGTTTCTTTCTCTCCATCTCTACAACTTCCTTTCGTTGTTTTTTGTCACTTTCCATATCACCAGTATAGGCGTTGTGTCATTCCGATAGCAAGGGTGCAGTGTTGATCCGATAAACAAAGCTTCACTACAATTGTAAAATGTAATATTTGGAGGTTGAGTAAGATGCTGGTCGCTGCATTTTTTCATCGAATCTGCACCTAACAATATGCAACATGATAGACGAGATGTTATTACCAGAAATGTGGAAATATCCTTAACAATTACACCAAAATGTATGAAACGAGGAAATTTTGCAAACAAAGTTTGAAAGTTATTTTAATTATTGCCTTGATACGATTATGAACATTTTATTGTGTTCGAATTGTTGTGATTGTATAATACTGCATCACTGGATGCTTCCATCAGATAAATTTATTCTGAGATGGAAAATTACATGTACTTCAGACTTCCAGGTGTTCACGAAAAAGGAGTGGTGTGATAGCCGATTTTCCTGTCTCAGTTTCATTTGACCCCACTCTATACCCACTTGTTGTACTTTATTTTGTCTCGCTTTCTAATATTACTGGTTGTGTAGATAATGCTACACTGAATACTGCAAGTCACTGAGTAACCCTTATTTAAAATTAAATCCAGCTTCATTATGAAATCAGCTGTCATGCGAATCAGACGTGTTTACTAATTTCAGTGTTTACTAAATATTAGACTTTGAATCTCGTCAATAATAAACGAAATATTTGATGAATTCACATATAGAGTAAAAAGTCTTTATTGTATTAACTAGCAATTGTCTTATATCACAATGTTGTTTCTTGTTTAGACAAAGGTGCCAAATATGTTCGTGGTGCTTTCCTAGACTACACATCTGCGTTTGACTCTGTACCTAGGGGCCTTTTATTAAATAAGCTCTCCTTGACGCACACAGCATCCTGGGCTAAGAGTTGGTTGCATTCTAATTTTTCTGATAGAATGCAGTATACTGCATATAATGGCAAATCTTCTTCTGCTTTGCTTACAAAAGCCGGTGTTCCTCAAGGTGCTGTCCTCTCTCCCTTTCTTTTTTCTTTCTTCCTACATGACCTGCCACATTTAAACGAAACCAATTTTGTCAAATATGCTGATGATCTGACTGTATCACTGCCTATCACTTCTGAGTCTGACTGCTCCAAACTTAATAGCTTTCTGTTGGACATCAGCATGTGGTCTAAGTCAAATGGTCTTATGTTAAATCCTTCCAAATGTCAGGCAGTTAACTTTACCTTCAACCATCGACGTGACATACATGAACTAGTTAGTTCCCATGGTTCCTGTAGCATAGATGGTACAGAAATTGAAACCAAATCAAGCATTAAATACCTTGGATTAGTTCTTTCCTCTGACCTTTAATGGTTATCTCACATTTTATTGGTCTCTAAGAAAAGTATCAGCCAACCTTTAGTTCTGCAATTTTTAAACTCCTGTATTTTACTTATTGTACTTTATTGTTCTCCATTAATCTTTCCTGGGCTTCTTAAAAAAGACTATGCCGTATTACGAAGGGTATTAAATGCTGTGAGTAGGGCTTGTGGTTTGCGACTGCGTGATCTCGCCAATACCATAGTCGAGAGACACGTAAATTCCTGTAAAAATTGGGCAAAGGCCGTATTGTCAGACCCTCTGCACCCTCTTTATTCACAATTATCCCCTTGTATCTCATCAGGTAGAACGAGAAGTCAATATAAGAAATTATATGCTCGTACCACTAAGTATAAAAATTCTACAATACCGTATTTAGCCCGTATTTTATGTGATGAAGACACTGTTTGACGTGAAACATATAAGTTACTATGTAATTAGCATAGTGAATCGACCCTTTCATTGTTCATCTTTCTGTAATTCTGTGGTGTCACCCTTTCAATCGTTTAATTATAACTTTGCTATTTTTATTTTAGTTGTTAATACTATTATTACTATAATTTTATATTTTTCTCCTTATCCTATACTGTAATTGCTACATAGCTCCTATAAAAACGTTTTGTTATCATTATTATATATAATTTATTCCGTTTATCTATTTTTTTTGTTGTTGTCGTTTTTGAGTAAATTAGATGCAATACTGTACTGAATGCTGAAAATTCCTTGCTGTATCATTAATACTGTTTTTGGAATAAAGCAAAAATTATTATTATTATTAATTACTGAAAAACACTGAATAATTTTATAGTACATAATTCTAAATTGTCGAGACTGTAAAGCTAACTCAGCCTAATGAATAAGTGGAGAGTAGTGAAGTAAACAAAATAAGCCCTAACATTATAATCTTCATTGCCTGAAAATGTTTACATTGCCTCACTACCTACTGTAATAAACGTTGAACAAAGTCCATTATTCAAAAAAAACAATATCAGTTAATCTACTTTTCATAAGTGATTTGAGAATTATTTATTTTGGAAACATTGAGAAGTTAACTGAAACGACTTGGCTATTCGTGTGCTTAACAGTTTAGTGTAAATAAGTAGTCAGTAGGAATCAACGATTGCCACAATGACAAAAGGAATCATACGTATATCCTGTGTTTGATATTTTTCGCTAAATATGAAATTTTTCTAGATGTTCAACTACGCAAATATGAATCATTTCACGTTCTGTCTTCAGCCTTAAGATTTCTAGATTAAATCTCTTTAAAAACAAAATATTCATATCCTCAACTACTCTCTTCCCTTATCACTGACTGTTTCGAAGTGTTCCTTTTATTATGTAATTTTTATCATGGAAGCTCGTGCTAATCACCTGAAAACTTAATCACCTATTACAGCACATCCACTGGTGATTGATGAAAATCGTAGTTTAGGAAGAACAATATATCCTTATTTACAATCGCCTTTATGCATCACAAAGTTTCTGATTTGGAGTTGTCAGCATTCGCATATCAAATTTAATTTATAGACAACTTCGTGACTACACTACACTACAACTTCATGATTCCACTGCTAGTCACCATCCACTGATTAAATAACTTCATAATTTTTTCACCTTTCAATTTTCCATTGTTTTATGAATTAGCCGCCTGGTTGATAGTAGAAAAATATTTTCAGTCGTGATTTAAATTATTAAATAAACATGCAATAGACAACTTTATTTTACTTCTGTATATAAACAAGTTCGATGTGCACTGAAGTTTTTATTATCAGTTAATAAACACTTCACCATGAATGTAAACAAAGTTTGAGACAAAGTTCAGAGAATAAGGTGAATAAATATTTACATATAATTTGAGCAATGATATAAGTTCATTTCATAGCGTCTGGTGTAAGATGATTGTTATTTTAGAGGTAAGCACTCCAGTTCTTATGATTTGTAGTTACTATCACTTTCTTGTCATCAATGGCTGCATTCTTCGTTTAATCTTAGGCATTCTTATTTCATGATTTCATGGTTTATGAGGCTTAATATTTGATATGTATATTGAGCAGTCATCACAACATCAGAGAATCTGTTGCTTTACGACTTTTTATTCTTTTTAGGGATTTTAGTGACACACCCCATTACTGATTGCAATTCCGAACATAGTGCATATGTGAGGACAGGCTTTTAGAAGAACTGTTATGGTGAATGAAAACCGTCAATTCACACGCTGAGGGTTGTCATGTTTCCATGTGTATAGTGATAGTTATTTCAGGCCGTTTTTCTGTCTGTGAGATATTTCAATCTTATTTCTTGTTTGATATCGACTCCAACTTTTGAATATTTGGAGATATGAAATTGTCACACGATTAACATATTCATCGATGGCATCGCTCATATATGTAGGCAATGTTTATGCATTAAATCATTCATGCTGAGAAATAAGGACATAGTGGTTTTATCTAAAATCAACAGTCACCAAATGTGTAACCACTGTGGGCAACGCTTCAAAATAGCTTTCTTGATTTTGTTTAGAATCAGTTACCTATGAACGATATCAGAATTTTTACTAACATGAACTAAATATTTTTTTCTTCAGGCGAACGAAAGTTTTGGTGCTCAATGGACGGCTTATGCAGCAATTACTTGTCTGTAAGTCTTCCTTCCCGCAATCTTTGAGATTTACAATATTAACTGTAAATGACCTAAAATACCTTCACATCACTTCGTGATTATAAACTCAAAACTCAAATCTTGAAATGATAGTGTGCGTGGGTGGCCCAAGGGTTAAGATTGCCGTCGACCATGCACATGGTCCGAAGTTAGACCCCTACCAGCGCACACCCGATATCAATGGTCGGCCTGTGAAGTTGGGCTACCGATATCACACGCTGAAAATTTCATAATTTCAGCGAAAATACGGTGTGGAATCAAGCTATAATCAAAATAAATTATAGAGCAAAGAATCAAACAAACTATTGACTACTACAGGTTTGAAGTATTTTCTTGTTTACGTAGACACTGTCTTAATTGGATGTGTGGCGTCGTCAAGGTCTACCGGCGAGGATACAACATTATACCTATCTGTTTGCTGTGAATATTGGTTTGATTAAAGTTATGCAAAAGAACTAATACTTGAATTTAAGTCCATGTGAATAAATATTTAGTAATTCATCAGTTGTACCTGCGTTGAGATGCTAGTTGAGTGAAGACTATTCCGATTACCGGACTCTGTATAATATTGTTAAGAATAAGAAAACAAACAAAAAGAGTACAAATATGATCGAAAATTCCTTTCCCCAGGACAAATATTAGGCTTTCGTTTCTAAAATGGTATTACTAGGCAAGCAATAAATACTTTGGATTGAAAAGGATTTATTGGACCTTTGAGTTACTGATTACTGGCGAAACCTAACAAAATGAACTTTTTTGGAATATTCGAACAGTATAGCTTAACTGAGTTCATCTGATCTTAAATAATGTATCGGACCAATAAACGTCTAAGCAGATAAAAGTATGAACTAGCAAGGAATGATGGATGTAGGGCTCTTGAATGTTTTTATGTAGAAAACTCCTTTCTTCTTCCGGAATTCATTATAGCTGTTTTCTATTTGCATTTTAGAGTATTGACTGTGATCTTGTGTACATTGCTATTCTTCAAATTCACAAATAATGTAAAAATTGCGTTAATCCTGATAGGATTCATAGTAAGTTCTTCAGAGATTCACATTATTGAATTAGCTTCGTTTCCTCGAGATAATTTTGTGTCTGTTGATATTCACTCAAAATGGATTAAATTTCAGCAAGCAAAAAAGGTTAATAAAGTAGAATTTAATAAATTCACCAAATTGAGGTGGAACAGCAAACTCAATAATATTGATAATAATATTAATGGCAATAATATGAATATTAAAACAACTTAAGGTACCACTACTGATAAATGGTGGTTTTAAATGAATGAAGGATAATAATGAGGTAGAATAAATTAATAACAATAATAACAACAGGTAATAAGTAAGGTGAATTGACGTAGTGGATGCAGAGTGACCACGATTTCTTCAAAGTAGAAGCGAAGTGGCAGTATTGTCTCTCTTTATTATTCTTATTTGTCTGCTGCTAATGACGTCTGCTTCAAATTTTAAAACGATTCTACTGACTGTGTAACTGTTAGATGTCTTGGTAAAACTTCATTTTTATCACGAACACTTATGTCCAGGGATGAGACATCACCATTACTTTCTTTCTATATGTTGAAGTTTATTTCTGAAAGCGCATCATTTAACTTTTCGAGGATGTTCATCGCTTTATTCTCACCTTTCATAAGCAGAAATACCTCACCCATATGTCCAGAGTAGAATCTGAACTCACTGATGCCTACTTTCATTGGTCCATTTTATAATTTAGCGAGAAAACAATCAGCCAGGATTGGTTCTGATGGAGAACCCATAGCCACTTCATCAGTTTGTCCATAGTATTCCTTATTGAGCAAGAAATGAATACACATTGTGCATCTTAGAATAGGTTCCTTCATGGACATACGGAAATGTCAATGTGTATGTTTCACTTAGTAATCTCATAACACTAATTTTACTTGTAGATCAAGTCTTTGTTTGACTTTATCTTGTACATCATACCCTGTAAATTGCAGAGTGTTATTTGTAGCTTTCTTCAAAGCTGTCGGATAGATGTAAGTTTCCACATCTTAGATGTTAACAACTTTTTGGAATAATTTGATCACCGAGTCAGATTGATTCATTATAAATTATTTAAATTAATCCCAGGGTGTTTAAGATGGCTGTACTGTGGCATATTTCTGTAGAAGATTTATCTATGAACCACTCACGATATCCTAATCGTGAATGAGGTATCCATCGCAGGCTTTGCTTTATATTCAACTATACTGTTAAAATAAATTTTGTATGCTCTGTTCTGAACAATAAATTCTTATATAGTCTTCGTATTATTCTTCACGTGTTAAGCTGTGAAGTTAACATTCAGATGATAAAAGATTAATTCTTCTAATAAGTCTTCTGATTTTTATTTACTTTCACCAACAACAACAGCACCGACCGTATACCTCATTTAAAATACCGTTTGTCGAATATGATGTGGCAAAATATCGCCTTACAGGAACTAAGTGATCCACTGAAATTGAGGTTTAGGTTTGTTATTCACTCCAGTATGAGCGACTTTTTGGTTGATTATATGTTCTCGACTTAAAAAACCTCTGAAACCAACATGCACGAATCTTTGACGTCGAACTATATCGCAAGTATACCTTATTTTTTAAGCAAGCCTTCACTGAATTAAAGAAAATTACGAAACTTGTTCAGCGGTTGGGTATAAAATCATGATTGATTACAAATTAATTGAGGTGAAATTATCTATTCTTCAAGCTATCACGGAATGTGTTCTTTAGCCCTTACGTGAACAGATCGATGTGTCCTCCCTGTGTACGTGTAAATGTAATTTGATAAGTGAAGCGGGATTCACCATTTAAGATCTGACACTTTGACGGTTTACAGTACAAGAGAAATTACGTTTTCTCATCTTAACCGCGAAATGAAACGAGAAACAGATACATTGTACACCCGTCCTTTAGGTACCTGCAAAATACTGGGGATTCATGAATCCGTCCGCAGTTGTAGTAATACAACGTTGATCCCGCTCAATAAACGCGAAACCAACATTCACTTTTCTATGGGGATTTTTCACATCACTAAAAGTGACACTGCAAGAACATTTTAACTCAATTTCACTGTTATTTTATATGAAATTTCTATGTTTATGTGAATTTTGTGAAAAAAATGTTAAATTTTTTAACTCAGATGTTCAGAATGTCTAATTTATTTTGCCAACAGATTGTATTATGGTCTGCAGCTATCTGTTTTATGTGTTGCCGAGAGCCTTATTTTAACTATTACTTGTTCTTGGGCTTCGTTATTCTGGAAGATTTTTCAACAATTATCGCCTGCATCTATGTCAAAAGATTCAAACTAGTGGTGATAATAGTTCTGATATCTTTATCGACGGCTTTTCTGATAACTGGAGCAGTTTTATTCTTTTTAGATATGATTGAGGTAATTGCATTGAAATATCAAATTATCCTTTTTATTCTAAGGTTTTAACATAACTAGAACTGTCAACTAAATATTACTATTACTGACACAAAATACAGCCTTATACCTATCTCTGTATTCTTGAGGAGAAACTAGGGGTATTTATGCAGCAATTCAAGTACTGCAGTACATCCGCCCATCTGAGAAACAGTATCGAACTCATTTGATATTGAAAATACAAATTACTATGTAATTCCATGATAATGACGGAACATCCTATTACACAGTGGTAAGAAATGGTAAACATAAATTCTTGTGAAAAGATGCATTTCAGTGATCCTTAATTTATCTCACTGATTCATTGAAATTTTCAGAAAGCTGCGTTGTTGTACATAAACGTTTTGTAGTTTTGTTCAATTTGACAACATTCAGTTTTATTGCCAGGTTACTACTACTTGAATTGTACATTTGATGTGATGTAATCCTTGATCAGCATTTTGATCGTAATTTATCTGAACTTGATATGATTATGAGTAATATTTTGTGCTCGAAACCTCATCAGTTAATATTACTGCATAACGCTGTGAAAGTTTTCAAAATAAAATCTTGTCTATAATGCAGTTATACTTCACCACAGTGTCAAAGTTTTACACCTACATCAATTTATTTGAACTTGTTTCAGCTGAAATATTCTATATTGATTGGCGGCTTTTGGAACACTACCGTAGCTTTAGTAAGTTCACATTTTTACTTTGGAATTTAGAAATCTCTTTATGTATCAGCTGTGGCGTTTGGTTTGAGATGACGAATCATGAACAATTTGTAACAGAGGTGAAGTCTACCTTGACAAGCCTTCGTGGTGTGGTCGAGGTTAATAAAAAATTCCAAATCACATTCTCTGTAGATCTCAGTGTTGATTTTATTCATTAATGTAAATCAGGAGTTTATATTCAGTCAACAGACTGGCATATATTCAATTGAAACTCAGAAAAATGATGTTGTTCTATTGGTTACTCTTTTTCTTTCAGTTGGCTCTAGTTTTTGCCAGCTCATTGAAATAACATGAATAACACATCGGTCTATCGGTCATATTGTGTCAAGGGATATTCACTTGTGCTTGCGTACACATTTTATTGTGCATGTAACTGCCTAACTAATTGACAGTTCAAATTTTAAATTTATAGAATAAATTATTATTTTTGCACTAGAACTTTCATTTTGTATTTGCACAACAATTTCTTCTGAATGATGTTTTTCATGAGTTTGTCTATCACTCATAAAGAGAATTTGAGTGCTGGTTGACTCTTCCTTCGACGTTATGTATTTTGACGATGAAATCGTCTTTTGAATATGTGACTCAGTCAGAAAAAAAGGATGTCGGATTCAGGTAGAGAGAGGGACTCTTTAACTAAATCATCACACATGGAAATACTAAACGAAACTCGGTAATATGAATAGATGCTTCTACAATCCAGTGAAGGAAGCTATTAGTTGATTGTCTGCTATTCGTTGTATCCAGTTGTACAGTGGTGTGGTCTTGACGAAGAATCATCACTTCATGTCGCTTGGTCTTACGTTGTCGGCATAATTGTCTATGTGACCTCCATCATCACCATCCTTGTAGTCTAGAATGATATTTAATCACTTAAATTGGTAATCAAAGAAAATGAGGAAATTGTTCACTTAGTTCATTGCGTAAATATGATCTGTTTGTATGCTGTTGCGTCAACAACTTTCACCTAAAAGGGAGATTTTGTTTGTAGTAATAACCTGCATATCCTATTTTACGTAAAGGAAATTCAACGACTACAGTAATTAAATCAATCAGTAATGTTGAGAACTTCGTCATGAACAACATCATAACACCCAATGATGAACTCTCAACATTCTTCACAGTAAATTCTTCCTTCATTTACTCTGATAAATCCATAACAGCAAGTTGAAAATCAAAAAGAGATGGAGGTGAGTAATGGCAACTAATCAAAAATCTAATTAAGATCGAAATAAACTTTGTGAATTTCAAGCACTTTCATCAATGCAAAACAAGGGAGGTCAGGCCACTTAGAAGAAGATTCACGAGAGATTTTGTTTTTCATGTATTAGTTATCATGTTGTTAAGTTGAAAATGTGTCTCTGATACCAAAGTTATTTATTTAAGTAAGGCAGGTAGTGACAACTCATAATTTGATGCAAATCCTTGTTCTTTTTCAAACTGTGATAAAATGAATGGAGGAACATTAGAGAGGTGTAGCTTTTTCCAACGAAGAGACGTGTGAACTTGGTGTTCACAGGAACAAGTTGGAATACTAGTTTTTATGGGAAACTATTACAAAAGAAGGGAATGAGGTGCGTTTAGTGATTCACCACTATTCTCGAAGCATGAACAATGGGTGAACGATTAACCAAATCATCGTCTCATTTTTGTACAAAACTCATCAAATGTAGGCAGAGGCCTGAATAAGGCGAGATGTTGACCTGTACTGGGCTCATCTCGTCCATACAGGAAATCAGTTTGAAATTACCATATATTTCACATTTACATATATATATAAAGCAGCATCCATATCTAATAATGCAGAAAAGAATTAAAAACTTGAAAATAACAGACATACATAGGTAGGTTGGACGAGAAAGGAAACAGGATAACCATTATTTGTGGGAATTACTTTGCGTGATTTCGTTATTTAATGCTATTAGCCTAATCAAAGTGTCACTAAACCAGAATTTACAAATTCTCAGCTTATATTTAGAAACAGAGCCATCATTCATCAGCATGAAGTAATTCTCAAGTTTTCAAGTCGTCAGTCGGCAAAGATAACAAAAGCAGGTGAACATTATTGGATTTGATAAGTGTAACATTTTGTTATAAAAGCAGCATGTTTTTACATAATGACGCAGCTTATCATATTCGTGTTGATTTTGTAACTTCAAGGGGGAGGGAGGTGTTGTAGCCAGGTCAGATTCTGTTTAGTCCATCATTCCTATTCAGGCAATTTGGATTCTATTTGATATGAAGTGCTTCTGATATTAGACGTTCCTTGTGATTTCTGAAGTTTTTCTGGATTATTTCAATATTAATGAAAACAAAACACGTAGATCAGCGAAGAGTCTCTTTTCGGCGAATTCATCTTCTTAGCTGTACAATCGCAAATATATATGCATTGTTTTGTATGTATGTGTACATAAAGTTTGTCAAACAAAGTTACAATTGGTTAAGGTTAATTTTAACTAAACAAGTGAAGGTTGGTAATACAGGTCAAGAAAATTAAGTGAAACTAGGGTAGTAACAAAGGTGATGAGTTGTCACAAACAGTTGTAATAATAATAGTGAGTTTTACTCAGGATGCACATAGAAACAAAGTAGAAATTATGTAAGAGATCTAAGTGGATACAAGAATTACAATTGCTTAAGGTTATTTTAACTAAACAGGTAAAGGGTGGTTAAATAAGTCAAGGCAATTAAGTGCTAGGATAGTAACAAAGGTGATGAGTTGTCACAAACAGTTGTTAAAAGGAGTTATGCAATAATAATATGAATATTTTGATGAGTGAGTTTTACTCAGGATGCACATAGAAACAAAGTAGATAATACGAAACTATGTAAGAGATCTAAGTGAATACAAGAATTATAAGCAACTAAGGAACAGGCAAAGAAACAAAGTTAAGTTATCAGAATAAAATAAAATAAAATCAAAAAATCAAAACATTGTTACCATGAGAGTAGAAGTGGTTGAGTAATCTTCTTTTGTATGCACAGCTCCGGTTTTTCCATGTGAATGGCTAGAGCTTCAGCGATACAAAGGAGACGAAACCGTATTGCCTTTGACATGTTGTTCTTGACTCGGTAGATTACTTTGAAGGAGGCGTTCGTTGAAATGCGATGATCAGTGCTGACCAGGTGTTCAATTATCGCACTCCTTATTGCACCAGTATTTCCTTTTCGCAACCATGCTGGATAGTGTTCTTGAATCCTCTTGGACAGGATGCGCGTCGAACGACCGATGTACCTGGCTCCACAGCAGCAGGTGAACTGGTATATGCACATAGAAGTGGCCAGATGCGGGATCTTGTCCTTGAGGCTTCTGCAGATTAATGGGCGACTGAAGAACACTATTCTTAGCGTTGCTGCAAAGAATGTTCTTCTCAGAGATGATGTGATCCTTCTCTTGAGAATATCGCTTGCTAAATCTCCCTTGAAATCCAAGTTCATGTAGATTTTCTTTCTAGGCGCAGTCAAAGTCTCGTTTTTCCGAATTGTTGGTTTCACATTTTTGTCGATAAATCTTATTGGGTAACCATTCTGGATGAATATTTCTCTCAGAATATCTAATTCTGTTTCCACAACGTCGGCACTACAGATGCGTCGGATGCGGGAAGCAAGTGATTTAATTAAATTCCGCTTTTGTTGAATGGGCACCCAACTATAGAAGCTTGTTAGTTGACCATTCCACGTAGGTTTTCTATGGATTGATCTTCTTAGGCTCCCATCAGCTCTTCTTGTCAGTTCCACATCAAGAAACGGAATTTTTGACTCGTTTTATATTTCAAGAGTGAATTTTATTGCATATAAAAGAAGATTACTCAACCACTTCTACTCTCATGGTAACAATGTTTTGATTTTTTGATTTTATTTTATTTTATTCTGATAACTTAACTTTGTTTCTTTGCCTGTTCCTTAGTTGCTTATAATTCTTGTATTCACTTAGATCTCTTACATAGTTTCGTATTATCTACTTTGTTTCTATGTGCATCCTGAGTAAAACTCACTCATCAAAATATTCATATTATTATTGCATAACTCCTTTTAACAACTGTTTGTGACAACTCATCACCTTTGTTACTATCCTAGCACTTAATTGCCTTGACTTATTTAACCACCCTTTACCTGTTTAGTTAAAATAACCTCAAGCAATTGTAATTCTTGTATCCACTTAGATCTCTTACATAATTTCTACTTTGTTTCTATGTGCATCCTGAGTAAAACTCACTATTATTATTACAACTGTTTGTGACAACTCATCACCTTTGTTACTACCCTAGTTTCACTTAATTTTCTTGACCTGTATTACCAACCTTCACTTGTTTAGTTAAAATTAACCTTAACCAATTGTAACTTTGTTTGACAAACTTTATGTACACATACATACAAAACAATGCATATATATTTGCGATTGTACAGCTAAGAAGATGAATTCGCCGAAAAGAGACTCTTCGCTGATCTACGTGTTTTATTTCAATATTGTCAAAATCGATTTTTGTGGCCTTATTCTATGGCGTGTAGACCTATGACTGATGATTTTTCAAGTTTTTCTAGTTCAACCAGATTTCTCGGTGGTCAAAGATATGCTCTAGGGTGTTCATTACTTCTGATTTTGATTTTTCTCTGGCGATGTTTGTCCGATGTATATCGCATCACATTCCGAGCATTTTATTTTATAGACACAATTAGATAGAGAATCTTTAGGGATTTGGTCATTTATACGAACAAGGTTCCTTCGCAGTGTCTGATGTTTTGAAGAAAACTCTGATTTCGTGCTTATTGGGGTCTCTTCTGATATCCTCTGACGTCTCTGTCCTACATGTATAGACAACTGTTGAGTTCCATGTTTTCGGAATGCGTCTGCGACCATACTTAATGTCAGTGTTTATTTTGTTGAAAGTAGTAGTAGTTTTGTTGTTTTTTGTAGTTTTTTTGTTTGGGAGTCTCTATAATCACTTTTTCCCTTCGCATATGCTATCAATAGGTGTGCTTATCAAAGATGACTTCAAAAAACTGCTAGATTTGCGTTGACGGGATGTGGGAATGGGTTTTCTTCTTGAATATAGATATACTAAAATGTATGTTTTGCCTGCTTTCAACTAGGCAGTCTTGAAATGGTAGTTCAGTGACATCTGATTCTGTATCTGAAGTAAACTGAATTTTCAGAGATGGATTGTTCAGTTACTCGAAGAATGAACTGTGTATATTCTGTTTCAGCACGACAAAATTGTCATCAACCTATCTTAACCATATTTTATGCATGAGTATGATTGAGAAGATGTTATCCTTGAATCGATTCAT